GCAAGGGGTGTCACATGTGTGTGGAGCTTAAAAATGTTTATCGATTCTTCAAACTGAAGAAGTCTGTTGAGAGCTTCGGGGACCCATGAATGTAAATATTTTCGATTTTAATAGAAAAAGTACCAAATCAAATTTTCATGCGTTCACAATCAAAAGAAAACACATTCAATTAAATACTGTTTCCATCTATGTTTCTAGAGATCTTTTAAGAATTCACAGATTTAGATTTTTAAACGCCAATGAGTTTTACTTTCACTTTTGGTTTTTTGTCAATGTTACCAAATTATTAATTTTTGTTTCGAATAATTGCCCACAAACAAGCCTCACTTTGATAAATCGTAACGACCTTGATTTTAAAGTTACCAAACACATTTGATCAATAATGTTAAAATGAATAAAAGGAAACACTTTGGTCATGAGAAAGTTGGATTTAGTGATACAGGGTGTTCACAAAAAAATTGGGCTACTAGATCAAAAGTTACAGCCCTTTGAATTTTGTTTCGAAATTGGTTTTTAGTCCATAACTTTTGATTGAGAAGTGTAATCTAAAAAGTACGAATCGTTTTGCATTCTACGCACCAAAATTAATAAGAAAAAAGTGTTTTCCTGAGAAATTTTGGTGTAGTCGATTTTTGGTAAAAAAGGAAGGTTGTACACTGCCTTTTTTTGAGGCCCCAAAAGAAATTGTCTCAGATCGACCGGAAAAAAACATTTTCTTATAGAATAAGGCCTGTAGATTCCATAATTTCAAACAGTTCCAAGATTGGGCTACTAGATCAAAAGTTACAGCCCTTTGAATTTTCTTTCGAAATAGGAAATATGCATGTGGTTTAAATTTACTTGATTCTTTCTCCAGCAAATATTTATTGTCCTGACATTATACTTAAACCATTAGTTTCTTACTTAGTTTGTATTTAATTGCTAAAAATGTTAATGCAAAAGTGCAAAATAATATATAAAAGCAATCCCGAAGATGATCAATTGGTTATTACTAAGTAAAATTCATCCGATCTTTTTGCAAATCCGTATTTGGTCACTTCTTTTGATAACAAAACAATATGATAAACCCGATCACCGTAGATTTCATAGTTATTGCATAATTAAATAAACAAATTTACAAAACGACACTTGGTCTTTTAAACTGGGTGACTCCCAGAACGTTCTACATTTGTTTACAGATGGTGGAATCCTAAGACAACCATTTCCAAAAATTGTCCCGATGATTCTTGCAAGTTGATGGACTGTGGAATTTTTTTTAGTTAACTAACAAATTTACATTTCTTGTAGTGGAGTCATTTTATGTTAAAAAATCATGTAACCGAGAACAAATTGCAAAAGAATAATTGATTTAAGCGGTTTCTGGATGAAAAAAATGTGCTGAACACGATGGAATAAAGTTTACCAATGTTTGACGCGGGGAAATGCCTTAACCGGAAGTGACAACCCGGAATTAAATGGTTTTTGGCTCATAGCTAAGTCAGAATTGCTTTTAGGAAAAAAATTGTTCTATGCAAAATTAAAGAGCAAGGGCCATAACTATTTTTTTTTCAAATTGAACGTGTGAATTTTCCCAGTCTTTTAGACTTTTTAAAATTGTTCCACATATTCTTTAAAATATTTCACTTTTTTGAAGGCGAATATTCCGTATAGGGCTAATTTATTGAAATGAGAAACGAATGTTCCGAAGTGGCTAATATTTCTAGCGTAAGAATGCTAAGATTTCACGACGGACAGACACACGGCTTTGGTGCAGATAATCAACCCTATTTTTCGTGAAAGGGAAGGTAAACAAATTTTGTACCAGTGTGACGTCACGGGATGATTTGCATTACACTATATCATTTTTGTGCTTCAGTCTGAAGGAATTTATGAGTCAAGTATGAATTGTAATTACCAGTACACAAAATATTATTCTTGCCTTATCTTAGTAATGATAAAGAGTCATGCTCTTGTCATATCGCATGCATTGTACATATATGCCATATTATAAGCAAAACCTTATCCAAGACGTTGGATAATTTGAATTTGATCCTAATAAACAAAAAAAGAAATAGCCCAATGTAAATGGATTAACTTTCGTTGACATATATTTATAGACGTCCAGGCCTATGAGGACGAGAAAATTTATGGGCAGCTTTAATTATACAAAAGTGCACGGAATGAAGCAGTTACGGTCATAAATATCAGCGAGGACAACCCGGAAAATCCCATAAATACATTTTTCTTACTGGCTGCATTTTTTCTACGCCACCACCCTATAATTATTAGCCGCTACAACAACCGTATTGGTTTGCGATACCCGCACGCATAATTTCGACATCAATCACCGAATTACCCGATCTCCCACAACGGACCATTAGGCACGAAGGCGAAAAAACCACACATTGTGATTTTAATTCGCTTTTTTTTTTCTTGAACTGCATTTTCCCGTCCCTAGCGTGGAAAAAGTCCCTCACTCGGGGAATGAAATGATGGTTTTATCATGAATTGTTATCCCTGTCGCAATGGAAGTGCGGGCGTATTCGTGGTTCAAGTACTAACAATGTTAGATAAACAGCGATGCCCTTTAAGATGGATGTGCTCTTCAATCATGCCCCTTGCATGTACTAGAAATCACGACATTCGTCTTATTCATTTATGTAATTTCGCGTGATGGGGGAGTGATAGGCAACAATAAGCGGTAATGAAATCTTAGTTTCCTACAAATACTGGTAGCAGTTTTAGAATGGGAAGAGAAATCTCAAACTTTCTTTAGAGACATAATCACGTCTGGTTTTATAAGTGAGCAGGGGAGTGGGACTACGTTTTTGGGGAGGGTGATATGGGGTTAAAATCGTATGACGGCAGTTTCCGGCATAAGTTGAAATCAGAGACAAAAGTGTTCCATGGGAAATTTGTAGACCGTGAAAAACTCTACATCTTTCTTTTCGTAACCTCAAAATAACCGAAAAAATCACGGAAAACCGTGTTTTTATCTATATTTTTTTATCAAATAAGAATAATTGTAGTCCCTATTGAAGAAGTTCAAAAAAACGAAAAAACTCCAGAAACGACTTCAGGAACATTGAATTTTCTAATAAATGCGACAGTAATTGTTCATAATTTGTTTGAATTTTGGAAATTTGTCAAAAACTGATTTCAGCATTCAATTCTACGGGAAAAAATACTTTAGAGGCTTTCAAGGAACAAAGTCTCTGTTCACACAATGAAATGTAGATTCTTTTGTATCTTTTCACGTAGATTCGAATGCTGACAACAGTTTTTGACAAATTTCCAAAATTTAAACAACTTATCAACATTTACTTTAAAATTTAATGTTACTGAAGCCGTTTTTAGAGTTTTTTTCGTTTATTGAGCTTCTTCTTCAATAAGGACTATATATTTTTTTATTTTATTAAAAAGAAATAAAAACGAAGAAAATGGCACCAAATGGAACCCCCTACGATACATCTCTGAAGGACAATTTTCATTTGGAAAAAGTTTCTTGTAAAAAAAACGAATATTTCGAAAACCTCTTAATTTTTTATATTTATTTATTTAATCAATTTGAGTTACAAACAGGACAAACCTAAAATAGCAACTACATCGTATTGAAAAAAATATAAGTCAATGGTAAATGTGACATTCCACAAGCACAATCAAAATAAAAGCTTAAGAAGGTTAAAAGAGTAAATTAAAATATAAATAAAATATTAAAATAAAAATAATTTTAAACACATAAGTGATAAATTAGTATGCAGGACACAAGTGATGTGCTACTTAAATTCAACAAAGAGTAGAGGCAAACAAAATGTAATTACGTACAGTATGAAATAAAATTAAAATTAATTAATTTTTTATATTGCAAAGATTTGTAGTTATTTGTATCATAAAAAAGTATATTTCAACCAAGTCTCATAAAAAGAAAATCATTTTTGCGGAAATGAACAATAAAAAACAGAAAATACGGTTTTCCGCGATTTTTCGGTTGGTTTGAGGTTATGTGAGAAACTGACTGGAGAGAAAGTTGTAGAGTTTTTCATGATCTACAACTTTTCTGTTGAACACTTTTGTTTTTGATCTCAAGTTCTGCTGGCAATAGCGGTCATACGATTTTCGCCCCTTTTTTACCCTCCCCAAAAACTTAGTTCCACTCCCCTGCTCACGTATGTATTTTTTTTGTATTTGTTATAGACCATTTTAACATATCCACTTGGCAAAGCTACTTCTACCTTCTCCTTCAGACTTTCTTCCTTCCCCTTTTCTTCATTATCGCATCATTCCCTTACGTCTCATATACTTGACAATACCTGTTTGCCGTTCACAAAGTACCACATTCCCAGAAATTAATTTGATTCGGCTCGAAAGACCATTAATGAGCGGATCAATGGACTGTATGACTTTTTACGAAAATAAATAAAAGACAAAAAAACACCAAAGGGCCTTACCTTCTATTGCGCTGGTTCTTGAACTGGTATTTGTAAATCGTAATGTCAATGAAGCACTTATTGTTTTATTGGTTAGGCAAAATGATATTTTTCCTGTATTGCTTATATCTATAAACAAAAATTATAAACTTGTGAATATTTTTTGCTAATTGGGTTGATCCTTTCTCGTGAGTGATTTATTTAAGCCGTGCAAAATAATTAAAAGTTCGTTCCTTTATTTACAATTTGTTGGGTTGAGGGATTAAAATATCGAAATGAAATGCGATTTAAACATAATCCATTTAGATTATTAAAATGGGACAGAGAGACGAAATGTAATTTAAATGAAGTTGTTAAATAAATCCTTTTCGCGAAACGCAGATGTGTTTATTTCAGTTCATTGATTTGTTTGTTTCCAAACAGATTTACTCACATTAAACGTAACGATTGTTAAGTTGATTTGCGCGCTCCTGTTAAAATTTAAATTAAATTGCTCCCCGTTTGACGCTTTCGAACGTGACAAAAACCATTTCGATCGCTCTCCCGAAATATTGTTGTAAATAACGGCGTATAAATTCTCCGCTTTTGTTGCAGGAAAGCTTGAAAGCTCGCATTGCGGAGCTTGAAGCAGCTTTAGAGGCCGCCCAAAAAGTTGAACAGCGTGACAAGCAGAATCTCGGTAAACTTCAAAGACAGCTTTCGAGGGTAAGTTCGCGAGTAAACTTTTAGCATCATTGAACGTTCGTAAATTAATTATTTAGGAATTTGAGCGGTAGGTAGAAGGCGTACGTGCAAGTTTTGCGATTGTAATTGTTAGCTTTGGTTCGGTTAATTATTTGGAAGAAAGATAGTTATTTAAAACAGCGGCTGCAGATGAAGCTGCTATTAGTCAAGATTTAAGAGCGTAACTCTCCCGGGAAATCTGGGGTTGAACTGTTGGCAGCCCTTCCTGCATGTCTCCGCGTCTATGCCCCATTCGCTATCAGAAAGAAACGAATTGTTCCCTGTATATTTTGTAGTTATAAAATATTTTACGTGAAAAAAATGAACAGGGAGTCTGTGATTGAAAGCCTTTTATGACATAATTTATTACCCCTGATTTTCTTGGTAATTGCCATAGAAGCGTATACTTATATCCTCCAATTCGATATTTACGTCTAAATCGTAACGGAATTTTCGATAAAACTGGAGAACAGCAAAATTGAGAGGAATCAACATAACAATTAATTAAGCTTTCACTATACCAAGCGCGCATGTAACGTCTAAATGCGAGCAAAAATTGATTTAAACGGAACAATTACGCCTGCAAATAGGAACGGAATTTAACTGAATGAAGTGGAGCGCAATTTGCTTTAAATTTCTTCCAGTTTAATACTCCCCAATTTACCTACATTCTCGTCATCATGCAAACTGCCTATCCAAGGCAATTTAGCTGTGTGTCGACAACTATTTTCCTTCCGTGCGATGATGTAAAGGTAAAGTAGCAATTTGCAACTTCTAAAGTTCCCAACTTCCTCCCGTTTTACAGATGTTACTACCACTCTTGATTCGAAAGGGGGTGGGACAATTAATTACTTTGCAATTTTTTTACGGAATTAAAAAATTTCGAGCTAGCGTGACCCCTATTCCAAATTCAGAGCAATCTTTTGCAACAAATGCCCAAACATTTCCACCGGAGTCACGCTAATACATAAATTACACAGTTGCCCTATATAAAAGGCGCTTGTGGAAGAAAAATTCAATAAATCACGACAAATCTCCAGAAAAATGACAAGAATTCCATTTAGTGATGGCGTTTTATGTAATAAAACCGAATAACGTAGCCTTTCAGCTGAAAGCTGGAGTCGGTAAATAAAAGTAATTACTACGGTAAAAAATAATAAAAAAAAGTAAATTAAAGTGAAGATGAAGTGAACGTAACATTGACATTGGAATTTGAGTTAATTTAGGCGAGAACAATGAAGGTCTGTGGAAGATGACGAGTCATATTGAACTCCAGTTTTTTGCCCTCTTAATTGATTATAAAGCGAAAGCACATGATCTTTTTATAGGCGATTTGTGGTAGATGCAGGTATTTATTAATTGATTGGTCTCGGTTCGCTCCCTAGAATTTATTTCGGCACCTTGTATCGACAGATGTACGCAATTGCGACAAAGTTTATTGCTCACGTGGCGCCTAACAGTTTCTTAATTGCGTATGCATAGTTAGAGCTTTTGGTCTGAGAAGTATATTCACCTCTGGAAAAGTGACCCTCGAAAAACTCCCCCGACTCTAAGAAAATCCCATGTAGATTAGAAATTCGTCCAGATACATTCATGAGGACTCCCCTGGAAAGATTGTCTTCAAGGTGTAAATCCAATTGGCCTCCTGCAATGCGAAATTTTTCATTTATGTACAACGGCATTTTTTAGTTATTTACATAAATGTCAGGAAAATGGCACATTACTGGCGAAGAAATATTGTACGAGTAGGTATTTTAATTTCCGAGACAAGTAGTGTCATTTTACTGACTGAATTTTTATATAGAACTTTTGATTAATGTCAATCCTCGTGTCAATCTGTCAGTGATGACGATTTTGGGTAAAATTATGTAAGTAATCAGAAAACCTTTGTGGTTTGGTACAGAAATAGAAGATTACTAAAAATTGCAATTGCAAAGCAATTATATACTAAGGGTGATTTTCTCTAGAATTTATTTTATTTATTTATTATTTATTTAATTTCTGTGCCTCGACTACTAGTGGCCATTGACACGTTTACAAGTAGTTTTGTAGATTTATTCACAATGCATTAAGACCCTATTGCTTTTTTATATTTTAACATTTTTTACTTAACTCTAATAACATTTGGTAGTGACTTTTATATATTTATATAGTTGTGTTAAATCGTCCTATTTTGATACCAAGAACCCATGGTAGCGCGTTGTACAGACCTTTTAGGAACACCCTGTACAATTATAAAGGTTGAAATTTCCTTTAAAAAGCTTAGTATTTTGTTGATATTTTTTCATTTTGGTAGTGAAAGGTATTTTTTAAGGTCTATTCGTATCGTGTGTGAGTGGTGGGTCTTGATTTTCAAAAAGGGATCCATGAGTTGTTGCAGCAAGTCCAATCCTCAATCTGCGAATTATTATTGTCTTCGTAGCGAATGGGGGTAGATTAGTAGTCATTATTTTAGATAGCTTGGTGTAAGAAATGCTCCAAGTATTTTACCATCTGTTAATGACTGACTCTTTTAACTTGTTTTGGAGCTCAGTAGGTAGGTTCCAGTTTAGTGCTTCTTTTGCAGCTTGATCAGCTCTCGCCGAACTCCACAATCGACAAAATAAAAACTTGAAAGTGATATAAGGAATATTGGTTGGGTTGAATGTTCCTTAAACCTTGACCGTTTTTAGACTTAGACTTTATCCTTCCGAATGTTTCAATAACAAAGATCGCGAATGCCCTGCACCATTCCCATTAAAAATTGAAATTAATTTCGGTTTATCGTTTTACTCCATTTCGAGAATATTGGAAGAGGCCATTTAGGGCAGATATGATATTTTGCTAGAATAAAGTATTTTAGTGAGGTTCGGAATATTCTATGAAGCGCAGCTTCAGGAAAGATATTAATGAGGTACAGAAGTTTTCAATAAGGTTTAGGTTTCAGCACGTTTTGGGGCTATTTTTAAGTGTTTCAGATATTAGTGTGTGCCATCAAAGAATTTATAAAGTTTTAGGGGGTTTCGAGGCATTTCAGAAGTTGCGTAGATGAACTTCAGCGATACTGAGAAAATTCTAAAGAACTTTGGAACGTTGCGAACAATATACAGTTTCAGAAAGCTTTGGAGGAATCCAAGAAATTGGACAGTTTCAAAGAAGTCTTGTAAACTCACGCGAACGAAGTGGAAAACACCAAAGATACCCCCTAAATCAAGCTGTTACTTTGGTAACCATCATCAACATCGACTTCCTGTTCTAAAAGGGTAATAATAGGGTCTGGATGAGTTCAGCTGTTGCATTTTTTATGGTGTGCAAAAATTCGTCAACTTTTTCGGGTTCTGGCTCTGAAGTACTCGCTCGCGATATGGCATCAGGGACCGCGTGTTGCAATTTTCCTCGTGTCCACTGATATTTTCAAGTGACGTTTCTCCGTTTTCCTAGTGATCTCTAAATTGGATACCTGCCACTTTGGGGAATGGAAGTCAATTTTTAGGGAAATGTTGTATGGAAAATTAATAATTTATGATTACTCAAGAAAGCTTTTACATAATAACAGAGTAACAATAACAATATAATATAGACAGCCGTTTCATAAACATAAATATAATCTCGAGTTTCCTTACAATTTCAGTATACATAAATACACTAGCATAACAATATACATACAGGGTGGTCATTTGAAAACGAAACAGAGCCTATTTTGGGGACCTCAAAACATTTACGAAAAAATCCTCGGACCCGTCAATTTTTTATTCAAGGGGGAACCATTTTTTTTGCTAGTTTCGCCCCCCTGATGGCGAAGCCATAGCGGGGGTGGCAAGCGCCCCCAAAATTTTAAATCGAATGGGGGGTCGAGTGATACGTTATTTGGAAGGTATTTTTATGTGGATTATAACCCTTAAGTTTTAAATCAAATAAATGTTGAAAATGTTGGCCCTCGACTTCCATAGAATAATACAGGTTTTGTTCAAACATTTCCCGTACATTTTGAAAAACTTCTGGGGTAATTTGACGACATTCGTCAATTATTTTTTGTCGCAAGTTGTCTAACGATGTTGGCTCACTAGCATAAATTTTAGTTTTTAAATGGCCACATAAGAAAAATTTATCGCACTTAAATCCGGGGAACGAGAAGGCCATTCAAAATAGCACCTTTTCTTCCAATCCATTGTCCTGGAAACGTTTGGTCCAAATATTGACGAACCCTTGCAGCATAGTGGGGTGGCGCACCATCTTGCTGAAATACTAGACTATTTCCAAGTACTCCTTGTTATTTTCTAGTATCTCCACTAATTCTGGATGAATCGTCTTTTGTAATATTCCAGGTATATCTCTCCTGTTAAAATTCCAGGTAAAAAGAAGGGGCCTACGATATGGTTACCAAAATTGGCAGCCCAAACATACGATGGACCTGTTGATTCTGGTGTTGTCGATTAAAGAGCTGGGCAGTTCTATTAGCATTTTCATTGTTTGCAAAAAAAGAGAAATTATTTCAGTGAATAAACCATTATCACTGTTCCGATTTTGCAACTAAATATTTTTAAAGGGCTATTTGTCACTACTATGATCTGACAACAGTAATTGACAATCACTATTAAACCTCAAAATGCTGCTATAGTAATGCTCTCAACAATAACCAAGATTTGCGTTGCAGAAAAGGCATAAATGTACTTACGAGTATTAAAAAAAACAACAAAAAGTACAGTTCAGTAGGAGAACAACATTTTTTGTATCTACTGTTGTTTTTATTTTTGTTATTTAACTAATTCATTTACAAGAATTTTTTCATAAGAAAATGTTGACATATTTTTATAACTTTTATTAGCCCCGATTTAAAACTTAAGGGTTATAATCCACATAGAAATACCTTCAAAATCAGATATCACTCGACCACCCATTCGATTTAAAATTTTGGGGGCGCTTGTCACCCCCGCTAGGGCTTTGCCCTCAGGGGGGCGAAACTAGAGAAAAAATGGTTCCCCCTTGAATAAAAAATTGACGGG